TGGAACATGCATGAGACAATGATTTTCCATTACTGTAAAGAAGTGGGCATAACAAGAGTTGGATGGCACAAAAATGTCCTTGTAGCCAGACAAAAATCTAGTAGTTGAAGTTTGTTTTATATTAATCATTGACTTTGTTTGTTAAACACGAGTGACAAATTCATATAACCCAACATTCTAAAGTTGTTCTGCCTTTATCTTTAACTAGCACTGTTGTTTTGCTCTTTTGGAAGGAGGCTTCAAAATTCTGAGAGAGAATTACATGAGACCTTTATTGTGATGTTACAAGGCTACTCAGGCTTTTCTAAATTATATATTCCGATCAAAAAATTTGGTGTGGTTTCCTTCCACTGGTTGATTAGGAGAATTGTTGGCGTGTTTTATGTTTACTGTTATCACCTGACTATTGCAATCTGCATAGAGAAATCACTGATATTTTCCCAAAATGAAAATAGCTCCTTTTATTTTTACTCTTTTCCAAGGAGGACAGCAAGGCAACTTCCTCATCTATCCATTTCTCTTTGTCACCCTCCCCACACTTCAACCATATGTTTTACTTGCTAGCGTCATCATAACTGAGAGAGGGAGTAGGGTAATGATAATAGAGGTGAAAGAATGAGGATGACTAGGAAAGGGAAATAATTGACACTGAAGAGAAATTACGAGATAAATGAAAAGAGGAGCAAGTTGAGGAGGAAGTTGGGCAAATCAAGAGCAAGAAAGGTGGGGTTGGAATTAGAGAATTTGATGGGTAGTCGCTATCAAACAGAACTGTCGGGATGGAATTAGAGCAAGAAAAGAGGGATTGCCTTCTTAAGAATTTTCACTAATTAAATCCAAGAGTTCTTTTTGACTTTTTAGAAGACAGAGTAACAGTTAAATCATCACTATGGTAAACCTAACAAGACCATCAGATGTTTTCTGCAATAAGTAAGTTCATAATTTTCTGAGTCTTATTAACAAAATTATAGGTCTTAACTAATAGATACATATCAAAAACACAGATGTATATATGCCTAACTTCATTAGCGTAAAGGAGTTAACTGCTTCACAAATGTTGATTAATGGTAGAATAATTTAGCACCTCGAAATTACAAATATTTGTAATATTTTGTTCGTCAGATTGAAAGGTTCATGGCTACCATCATGTTCTTTCTTTTACGTTTGTGTCATGAATATCCTAAGGGTGTTTTGATGTAGGTTATTGAAGACCAGAAACTTCTGAGGGAGAAAGTGCAACACCTAGGTGGCAATGCTGGAATTGAACGAATGGAATGTGCTTTATTAGATACACGATCCAAATTCTTTGAAGCAAAAGAGAACGGTAGCCCTTTGGCAACATCTGTTGCTCATATTTCATCACCTTCAGCACCCGACACTTCAGGAAAAAATGTGGTCTCTGTGCCTCATGAGCAGAGTGTTGATATTAAAGGGAGATCCAATCATGTTGTTCGTTCTCTGTTTGGTGCTTCATCTTCCACTCAGCCTACGGTTGGTGCAGAAATTCAAAATGTAGATGTTCAGTCAAGTTTCAGAACGGTCACACAGTCGCCCACGGAAAATGAACTGCTTGTCAATGAGATAATGCATTGGGGCAATGGAAATATTGCTGATAATCTTGACCTCAAAGCTGAAGAGATTGGTATCCAGGTAATTGGACTTCTTTCCCCAAACATACAGGTGGCGCTCAAAACATTTTTTTTTCTTATATGAGCCATGCCATAATGCATGAGAAAAGAATCAGTAAGACCATTTTGACATCAGATGCTTTAGGCATGAATGTTCATATTTTATGCTCCATTGTTTGATAATCTTTTAAACCTACTCGTATAGAGGGTTTAATTTTCAGATTGATGATGTCTTTTGAGGATGATTGGTGATGCATGATTAGGCAATTTTTTTCTCTTGTGTTTTTTCCAAGTCACTGGCTCATGTGAATAAATTTATTGCACATTGCTGGTCTACTGTTCTCTTGAGGTTGATCCTTGTTGTATTAGGTTTTTCTTCAAGGGGCCATTAACAGATTTCGTTTCATGTTTTGTCTGCCTGGTAGGTTAAAGGGACGATGGAGAAGGCATTTTGGGATGGAATATTGGATTCTCTAAAGGAAGACAGACCTGATTACAGTAGAATACTGGGTCTTGTCAAGGAAGTACGGGATGAATTATGTGATTTGGCTCCACAGAGTTGGAAGCAAGATATTCTCAATAGTATTGATCTTGACATTCTCTCCCAGGTAAATCTATGATCTCCTAGATTGTAAAGTCTCTATGGTGTTAGTGTTTCTTTTTGTCCCTGACATTTTTTATAATATGTCAGACATATTGACCCAATATACTTTTTAATCCCTTGGCCTTGATTTCCAACTTCAAGCTCATACTTTCCTTGTTAATTTTGGTGAAAGGTCCTTGAGTCAGGCTCTCATGACATACATTATCTTGGAAATATTTTAGAGTTTGTGCTGACCATGCTTCGGAAATTATCTACTCCTGCAAGTGAAGATGACATGAGAAAGGACCACCAGAAGTTGTTAAATAGTTTGGAAGATATTGCTCGATCTAATGACAAACAGAACAACCTTTTTGTTATTGCCGCAATCAAGGGTCTGCGCTTTGTTTTGGAGCAAATACAGGTCAGATCCTTATGTCATTCATCAAAGTACTTTTGTGGATATACTAGATGAAAATGATTATTATTGTGTTTTCACCAACTTAATTGATTCGATTTTATATTGAAACATGGATAATTATAATTGTCTTTTCAGAGTTGTGGATTTCGTGGATGATACATATATAAATGTGAACAAAGTGATACTTGTATATAATCTTTAGTTAAATTGGCATTCAAATGTTCAAACTATTTTGATGCCAGTGCAGATTCTCTAGTTAAAATGGCAGAAAATGACCAACATTTCAAGAGTGAAGATCTTGTCTGAGGAAACTATGGTTTCTGATAGTTCTTATGAGGAATCTTGGCTTTTGAAATATGTGCACTCTTTAAATGTTGTCATATTTTTCAAAAAATATTGAACTAATATATTTCACTGCATAAACTATTTGTCATACTTTTCAAAAATTTGATTGAGACATTCTGTTGACAGACACTGAAGAAGGAAGTTAGTCTTGCCCGTATAAAGTTGATGGAACCAATCATCAAGGGATCTGCAGGATTGGAATATTTGCAGAAGGCATTCATGGACCGCTGTGGATCTCCTGTTGGTGCTGCCAACTCTCTTCCAAAAACTTCTCGATGGTTATCCTCATTTGTTGACAGTTTGGAAGAAGAATGGAACGAGCACGTCGACCTCTGTTCTGTTCTATCGGCAAGTCATGTGAGTTTCTCTTAAATTGGCTTTGGCACATATCATGTGTAATAAATTGCCTAACAAAATGTGCTGGACATCTTCAATTTAGGGACTTCCTATTACTACCCTCCGTACAGGTGGTGGCCTTTCATCCTCATCAAAACAGTATGATGTTCTTTTTAATGCTTCAGGTAAAATTCTCTGTTAATTTTCTTTCTTCATAACTTTCAAGATGACCAAGTTCTAGGCCATTTGAATAATTAACAGTGATGTACAGTGCATGATTGTTCATAATCATCAATGCCATAGTAATTTATAGTGACCTTGCTTCCCGAGCCAGGTGGTGACGAACTACCAGAATGCAGTGGAGAAAAGGTGGACAAGTTGGTTCGGCTTGGTTTGCTAAAACTTGCGAGTGCAATAGCCGGATTGACAACTGAGATGGCTCCTGAAACTCTTGAGCTTAATGTTTTGAGATTGAGAGCTGTTCAGAGCCAACTCCAGCAAATAATTGTTGTCGCAACAAGGTGATTTTTCTAATCTGATTAGGCTAGGTGTGCTCTCCATCAGTAAATAAATGGTTCAAACATTAGTAGTTTGTCATCTGTTAGTTACTCCTTTATTCATGGCATGCAGCATTTTGGTTCTCCGACAAGTTGTCCTCAGCGAGAAATCTGTTGCTCCTTCAGAGTTGGAATCTGTAGTTTCAAAAACAGTCGAGGGGCTCTCCGATCTCTTGAAGAATTCACCTGATGTAGGTTTTGAAGAGATCACTGAGATGATGGTGAGCTTATCTGGCTCATATTCAACTTCCTCTCCAGAAACAAAGCTTCAAAGCAGAAAGGAGATTATGGCAAGAATGCTCACAAAAAGCCTGCAAAATGACGATGCCATATTCGCAAAGGTCTCACGGTCAATTTACTTGGCTGTACGAGGAGTCGTACTTGGGGGGAGTGGTGCCCGAGGCCGGAAGCTGGCAGATGCAGCACTCCGACGAGTTGGTGCCGCCATGCTCTTGGACCAAGTGGTTAATGCAGGCAACATGATTGTTATAATGGCAATGGTCACCAGCCGAGTTCATGGGCCGTGGTACAGGGTCTTGGTGTAAAGATTCAGTGATTCAGTTTGCATCTTGTACGTAAGAAATCAGCATAAGCACTTCCGATTGGAACCTGTGGGGAAGACCTGCAAGATATGGTGTTCATGATTCAACCTCTAGCGTACGTAGGGCTGTTTTTTTAGCTTTAATCTGTTTAACATTGCAAAGTGTTGGGGGGAAGGAACTCTGCATTGTTGTGTACATAATTGTATAAAGATGCATAGATAAATGCGAATGCATTACATGTTTCAGGTCCTTTGGTCGTATGCACGTTGTTCCCTAATGTAACCACCCTTAATATAAAGCTTTTCTGTTTTTGGGTTTGCCAGTTTAACGTTGATGTCGATAAATCAGATTTCGCCTCTACTGTGAGAGGATTTCTCTCATCTGTGATCATTTAATTATGGCCTCATCATAAGTAAATTATGGGTTATATATATCTTTTGGTAACTTTGCACATGCACTAAACTTACTTTATCAATGTGGAAGAATTAAGTCAGATAATGGTATAAGTCCGACAACATTTTAATGGGATATCTGAAACAGGATAGAATCATTCATATAAATACCTTTAAAAAAAAAAGAGGAGCAAATGGGTGAGGTTAATAAAAAGCCATATTTGCAAAATATTTAACAACATCTAACGCAGAAAGGAATTGGTAATTACATATTCGAAAACAGTGTCAACCTAACAACACTTGGAGGAACAACTACATGGAGTCAGATACCAATCATCCTCAGAAGAGAAAACTTCAGTTGCTTGACAGATCTAAATCCTTTTCGTGTTTGGTGCAGATGGTCTCAGCTTGTTACCTTGCGATACCATATATGGTCACATCGGGAATCAGTTACCTTTAGGAGGGGAGCCGCTGCTCCTACTATTGCTGGTGCTTCTTCCTCTAACAGGTCTGCATGATGTATCCAAGAGTAAGTCGAGAGAATATTCTACTTTGTCCGATTCAAAACGAATCTGTAAAACTACACTCTTTAAGAGGAGGAAAGTGCAATTCGGTGTGAAGTTAAATCTATTGTGCATCCACCAGAAGGAAAATAAAAAGTGTACCGCAAGCAACGCAGCTCGCACTGAAACCAATTTTCAGCGATCATGACACATCTACCACTATGTTGTGTTTCAACCTAAATGTAATCATGAGATGCAAATGTGCTTAATTAAAAAAAAGCCAAACAATTACCTTCTAGGACTGCGATTTCTTGATATCTTGCGAGCTCCCTGGGAGGCAAAACAAGAAAAATAAATATTAATATTCCCAAATGTGTACCATCCGCAATTGAGGAAGATGCAAGAACGTGCTTCCATGTAAGTGCACATATAGCATGCTGAAGATAACTACCTTGCGAGGACTGGGAGAACCAGAATATGATGAACCAGAACTTGCACGCCTTGGTGGTGGCCCTCGCCCCCTGCTTTCAAAGATGGTCAGAATTGACAAATTTTAAGACAGGCATGCCATGCAAAAATAACCATGGAAAATTAGACAAAAGATCTTTTGAGCTTGGATTATAAAAACTAGGGAAAAGGGGGAACCAAATTGAACTAGATAAAAACCAGAATGCAATACTGCTGTTACCTGCGAGGAGAAACTGATCTAGAACGCGAATGAAGAGGCCTCCTTATCGGTGAACGACTACGACGGCGAGGCGGTGGTGACCTCCTTGGTGGACTCCTTGGTCGCCTAGGAGGTGATCTGACATGAAAGCAAATTCATTGAGAAAATTAGCACAATAATCAAATGGAGCGTAAGTTCCTTCGAGACATCATAGTGTATGTCATCATGACGTAATAAGAAAATTTAGTACTATATTGATTTATTCCAAAAACAGCTCACTGGACTATTAGAACAACAAGATTTAATGAAAAGAGAAATGCAAGGTTTAAAGAAGTTTGTCTAGCAACGGGGTCACAAAAGTGGCAGGTTCGGGGTAGTTGCACTGCTTCAAACAAGGCAAGCAGGTTTGCAGATGGTAGAACTCGTAGATCAGTAAAAACATATAATTCAACCAAATCTAAAATGGGAACCTGTACCTTAGTTAATTGAGTTTGAATGCTAAATCATACAAATCATGATCCAGATGGATTTCTCATTAGGAAGAGGTCAAAACTTATTAACATGGCGACGATAGATGAAAGATTTGGAGTTGATTTGCCTAAATCTGAAGTAACTTTCCTCAGCTTTTCATTAGGAAGAAAGAGGGCGGGCACTAGTTACACCAAGTTAGTGTCACTTTAGACATCAGGAAAATCTGCTGCCAGTGTCTATTAAGATATTTTGATTGAGAGTTCCTTTAAATGATAATGAGAAATATACTATATATGTATATGTTACAATTTCAGATATATGTCATGATCAGATGCTCTAATGAAGGTTGAGAGCTCCTTCATTGGAACATCAGATGCTCCAATTTCAGATATTTTGGTTGAGAGTTCCTTTCTCATAATCAGATGCTCCAATGAAGGTTGATCTGATCATGATCAGATCAACCTTCATTGGAGCATCTGATTATGAGAAAGGTAACTAAAGGATGGTCAAACTGTTAGTAAAAAAAGCTCTTGTTAAATGTGAAGATCTATTCCAACCAGATATAGGGACGAGTCCATTCACAGGCCAACTTAATGGAGTTTCCACTTAAATAATGTAAAAAACATAAATACCATGCTTGAGAACAAAAGACACTGAAAGCAATAGCAAAGAATGTCAGCATAAGACATTCACCTATATCCTCCAGAATTTAGGTATGTCAATTCCTGCAACAAATTATGATTAACACTATTTTCCAGTATCAATTCCACAATCGAAGGACGATTGACATCACTGTTTATCAGATAAACTTCAGAAAGAAATTCAAAACATGACAAGTGACAGTGATTAAAAATAACATATCATATTGGTATTTCTTCAGTGTCATTGAATGACACATCATATTCATAATTTTTGCTTAAATTCACAGCAAAACACAGTATCAATACATTATCATAAAAGACAACTTACCGCCGCCTTGGAGGAATAGGGGATCGTTTACGGACAGGGCTCCCACGCCCCCTTCTTGGAGAAATCCTACAAATATATACCAATTATATTAAACATACCAATTGACATGATAAAAACATTGAAAACTTCAAAAAATTAACTAACCGAGCCGGTGACCTGTGCCTTCGAGCAGGAGAAGGAGAACGTCTTCTAGGAGGAGATGCTGCTCTTCGTCGAGGTGGTGTTTCACCATGTCGGTGTGGGGAAGAATCTACTCGGCGACGTACGGGAGACTCCACACGACGACGAGGAGAGGAATCAGGTCGACGTCTGGGTGAACTAACTCTTCTATTTGGAGGAGGGGATCGCCTCGGTGGCGGTGACAGAGGTTTCCGCCGTGGAGAAGCTAATATAGTAAATCAGAAAAAGAAGATAAATTTGCAAAATCTCGATGACAAGAAATAACAAATAAAACAACATGCTATTGGACACATCCATTTTAAGTCGGAGTCCTCATATGAAAGAAAATAAGTCACAATTTGTCAAAAAGGAAAAGTGGAAGAAGCATATAAATCACCATGAGCCCCAAAAGAGATCCTTAAAATAATAAGTTCCTGGAGAAGAGAATGTCCAAGTACAGCTAAGAAGAATAATTTGAAAAGCTAACTTACGCTCTCTAGGACGCAGTGGAACATCTTTTTCTGCACTAGTACCAACTTTATCTCTCAGTGGAGCTTCTCTTTTTGCAGCCACAGGTATAGCCTTCGGGGGGGAAGAAGGTTTTTGGCGTTGTGTTAATGTAAATCTCACACGGACAACACATCCATCAATCTGGCCCTGCAATCCAAGTATGAAGGAAGCAGGTTTGAAAAAGGATCTTCGAGTGTCTAGAGTTGGGTCAAGAGGGTCTCAGCTTAAGAACCATATGTATTTGCAACATTTTTATTTAAAGGAATGAGAAACATACACCATCCATGTAAACAAGAGCCTTCTCAGCATCGACCCTCTTCTTGAACTCAACATACCCATACCCTCGAGGAAGATTAACCTAAACAGCATGTAGAACAGGTGATCAGATGAAAAAACTAGTGTCCATGTCCATAGGTTACAACCAGAAATTGTTAACATACCAGGCGGTCCATTGCCAGTTCCACATTAATTACATCACCAAAATTGCCTGCAAAGCCAATAACATGGCATTACAATTTTCCACCATCATACTTGAAAAGAACATATATAACATGGATTAGCAAGCCCTATGCATGAAAACAGAAAGCACTTATATAATCAATAAAATGAACTTAAAAACATATGCAAAGAAACTAAAATGGCTCAAAACTCGATTAAGATCTGATATCAGCACAGGATATTTTGATATTCAATTATCAACTTTCTTTCTTGCTTTATAAACTGATCAATTTCAGGTAAAAGGATCTTCATACTCATTCACTACTAAGAGGATCCTCGTTAATGTTATATATAGCCTGTGGCAGGCACACAGAAGTGAAGGATACTCATAGCTAAAACATATTTATATAAATTCTACACTCTTGGAAACAAATGAAACAGGGCCGAAATTAACTTACCAAAAATTTCTTTAAGATGTGCTTCATTAACATTCCTAGACAGATGATCAATGTGAAGAACCACAGACTCTGACACTGGAGATGGTTTCCTGAAGCAAAAGCAAATTCCATCATATAAAATTACTTTCCACCACGAAGAAAATGTGTAAATAACCTCTATGAGAGTCATGAGGAATTATCAAGCGTACATATAAATGTTGCTTTTCTGCTTTAATTTTGTTTCTGCTTACATATTTATGTGAGTCCACTTTATCCTATTTCTAAAAGAACTTCTCTATCTTTGCAAAATTATTATCCTTTGAATTATTTTTTAATTGTATTGTTCACTGCTTGGGTATTCCGCTTGTTAGGCGAAGCAACTAATTGTCTTGGTCATGGTGTTTTGCATAGATCCTATTCAATGTGTAAATCGTGGCATTCTTTTTTATGTTTAGAAACTACTTGAAAATTATGGAAAACCAAAAAAAAAAAGTTTAACCAGAATAACTATCTTGTTCAATTTATACTAAACCTGCCTACCTTGTTAGGATGCTCCACAACAAATTCCAAGTTCTAAACTCGCCACAGTTCTCATTAATCACAGTGAATTTCACCATTTAAAACATCCCTTTAACAGAAACATTATAAAAAACTTTGAAGAAACAATATAAGAATGACTGAGCATTGCTATGTGCCAGCAAGGGAAAGAAATTATTCAACAAAGAAATTGAAGACATGCTCTATGTTACTGTTTACATAACAATTGAAAGAAAAGTACAATGAGTGTAAAGCATGTAGTCGATAAAATCAAGGTTCTAGGTAAGAATTTAATAGGATCAGTTCAGATTGGGCAGAGCTAGGATCAACACCAACAGCAATCAACTAGAACTAGCTATAATATATTGGCTGGTTCTTATAACCAATCCATGATTTTTTAGGAATTCAGGGGTCAGCAATATGGATCCTCCTGATTTTGTTTGACCAATTCTTCAAAGCATTCACAGAGTTTACTTGGTGTGCATAACAAGGATCAGAACACATTTTAAATATAATCATACCTCTCTGGTGAAGCTTTTTTAGGCGGTGGTGTTGGCGAATGAGCTCTCCTACCAGTTAGAGGTGGACTGAGTGGACAATCATCATGCATGAGATAACTTGTTTCAGAGAAATTGACAGTCTTTGACAAAATGGATAAGATACATACAAGAGTAAACTAGTGAACACATTGCTGTAAATTTATCATCACTAAACAAAAGAATCATTCAATAACATCAAAAGCGTATTGGAAGGATATTAAAGGTGAATCTATTTATGTCTAAGCATACCTCATTGAGGAAGAAACAGGAAGAAATGCATGAAAGCGTTACCAAAAACATGTTTTGTAGCACCAATCTACTATGTTGTCATATAAAAGCAAAATTTATAATTTATGTTGGATCGGTCTGCAGAGACCATTATTTCTGGTTGGTAAAGGCATAAGCTAGATTAGCATAAATCTAAAAAATATTTGTGCATATCTAGGTTAGATCCATGCAAATTCAGCCTAGATCTAAACAAATATATTCTACATCCCCTAGACCTAGATTGTATGTCCACTATAGTGTAATTTTTTTCATTATATACCTGAAATCCGTATTTTAACTTTTGTAAGATAAACACACTGAACCAACTCTGACATGGTAGCAAGCTCATCGCTTTGAATACCTATGTTGATTGCATTGTAAGACTGATAAAACTAAAACTGCATTTGACTAGTGGATTCGACATGGCCAAATGCACAAAAGTCCCACAAGAAATCAGATGGACTTTCATGGTACTATTGGATGCCCAAAAAGCCCTAATAGTGCCAAAAGCACAGAGGGAGGGCTCGATGGACAAGCATATGTGCAGTCTGATAGGAATCAATCAAAAACTGGTCTGGACCTACTCGAAGAAATCAAGGATTCATCTGAACAAAAGAATGGAAACTCAGCAGAATTGCAGGAGACCAGCTGCAGCAGACCAAATCTAATTTAAATACTTGTGGGAGCACAAGTAGGATTAATATCTCTAACAACTGATCGATTCAGGTGATGCTAGACGACTCAGCATATCTACCATCATTTTTGTGCGGAGCAGGAAACAAAGACAACCACTCTTATGCAAACAGAGATAATATGCAGATCCCAACAAACCGCCCACCAAGAAAACAAGACAAATAAATTTAAATCAACAAATAGTAATTCAAAGGCGATCGATTGTCGTCAGATTTTGTTACTCCAGAGTACCACATGCACGAAAGAACACATGGAGAACAGAGTAAATAAAGGTCGAGCGGAGACACATTTTCCTAGCTCAACAAACCCGACTCAAAAGTTTGGACTTTCCGGAGGGTCTCCAAAGTGATGTTTCGGGCACAGATTTAACGTGACCGACTCACCTCTTTCTCTGCGGGGGAGGGGACCGGCTTCGCGAGCTCACGCTTCGCGAGGGCGAGGAGGAGGAGGAGAGTGACCCGGAACGGGATCGGGAGCGGGAGCGCGACGGGGAATCCGAGCCGGAGAAGGAGCGCGAGGGAGACGAAGATCGCGACGGCGACACCGACGGGCTCGTCGGCCGCGCTCGGCCGGGCTTGGCCATGGGTACGGTGGGTGTCGGTGGAAACCCTAGAGAAAGGGTAGGGTTTTGGGGCGAGGAACGGCCGACCGATGCAAGAATGAAAGACGAGAACACGTAAAAGTGCATTTATCTGTCTCCAATTACTAAAATACCCTCACGTTTTGCTCATATTTAGTCATTGGGTCCGAGGAATCCAACGGACTCATAAGGGAAATATTATGTGGCTTTTGCTGATATTAAAAAAAATTATTCCAATAAATTTCTTTTTTTATTTTATGTATCAGACTTATAACAATTATGTGGCTTTGAGGGTTATTATATTAGATCTTGTGATGTTATACTAAATTTATATATCAAGTATTGATGTTTGGAAACTTCATGTTATATATTTTAAAGATGTCAACTATGTTAACTAATAAATATCTTGATTATTGATAATAATAAAATCATTTCAAATTTTGATAATGATATTTTTATTTTCTAAGTGATGTTATATTTTAAAAAAATATTATTTTCTAAGGGAATGCAGTCGAGTCGAGGAGTCATGACTTACTCGATCAAGCAAAAATATTATTTTCGTATCGCGCTTTAATTTATTTCTTAAAAAAGAAGATCGATAGTGAAAAGCTTGTAAGTTAGTATCTTACAAAACTAGTATGAGATATCAATCAAATATAAGTTATTAAGATGTTACAATATAATTTAAAATTTCCAAGGAGAAAAACATATTTTTAAAAATATTTATATAATTTGTATAGGATGAAGGGAAAAAAATTTAAAATCAAAAGAATATTCAAAGACTAACAAGCTAAAAAGTATATAAAAAAATCGACCAAGTTCAACAAATCTGAGAAAAATTAAAATTTTCAAGATCAATTACGAAGTTAACTCTACTTAAATATAATTCTTTTATAGATCCTCTCATATAATTTTTTTAAAAAAATTATATTCTTTTCTTTCACTCCCTTTAAATATTAAAAAAATTGTAAGATATTATTTATCAATCGTAAAACGAAAAAACTTTGTTTTATTATCAATAGATATATCACATATAAACGGGATGGTTTGACCCGATTGACTGTGTCAGACAAAGATACCTCCATCACAAAACAGAATCCAAGACATTACACTATTCTGCAAATGCCTAACATGAACTCGATCATCTGTAAATTGCATCACTAAGATGGCAGCAACAGCAGCAGCAGCAGCAGCAGCTTCAAATCAAGAGCTACGAAGGATTGCACACCACAGGAAACCCTCCTTCGAATCCCATCCATTCGTCCCACTCATCCCACTCGTCACCATAGCCATCCACCACGTCCGAGTTGCTCTCTTCCTCAAACTTGGCCATGAGGCTCTGTCCACCTTACACGAGCACTCGTCAGACACATGCAGGAAGAGACACCAAACGTCTATCGCCTCCTTCACTTACCTCGTAAGCCGACTTGATCTCCCTAAACGTCTCGTCCTTCTCTCCGCCCCCGTTGTCCCCTCTCACCACGTCCGGATGATACTGCGCACGTTGGCAAAAGAGTTGCCGAGTCAACCAACAGGAAATGGTCACAAACCAAAGCTTCAATCTAATATAGACAGTTCCTTTTCGATAAGAATGTGATATGAAACTATCCATCATGTTCTAACATAGAAAAGTCAACGTTTATGCACTTTGACTTTGGAACTGCTGCTCCACGATTGTTTCCACAGAGAAACATATATCAGCGCTAAGGAGTAAATGTAATCCAGAAAGAAAAAGGATGCAGATTGCTTGCCTTCAACGCGAGGCGCTTGTACGCGCGCTTGACGTCGCACCTGGACGCGAAGGGCGTCAGCCCAAGAGCCGCGAACTCGTCGGCGATGGGGAGCGACCTGGCCGGGATCCTAAGGCATCGCCCCCCATTCGCCAGCCTTGCAGCCGGGAAGCGGCCCATCGGTCCGTTCCCGAGTGCCCGCGGAGTCGCCGCTCTCCTCATCGCCCCCCTCTTCTCCTCTCCTCTCCTCTCTTCTCCTCTCGAAGGCCTTGAAGAAAAAAACTGGAAAAAATAGACCTGAGACTTGGTCTAAATGACGACGTTGCCATTGCATGACCACCCGTCGATTAGTGTGGCAGTGGTTCTTTTGTAATAGAGAGGGCCTCCTGGAATAAAAAGACGGATATAGCCCTTAGCTACTTGCTCCTCGCGACGTGTACTTTTCTCCACGGAGTCGGGAATCTTCCGTTCGTTAGCAGCCATTCATCTAATACATGTCATACGAGAACGCTAATCTAAAAGCTCCGATATGAACCACCCCATGATAGTTGGTGCGATGTGACCAACGCGCATGAGAGGAGCACCGCGTCATGGTCGCGTCAATATCCGTGCGCGAGCATTTTGCCGAAGTACATCGGTACTGATGCAGCACACACAATGATGAGATTAGATTTTGTTGATGTATGTATGCAACACCGCATAGATTCTGAATCAAGAGGAGATGATCGTTCTGATGTACCTTTGAAGTTGGGCCCAAATTATATATAAGGCCCAATTTAGGTCGGGGTTAGTTTCGAAAATATCAGTCTAATATGTACGTATATGTATATATATATAGGATCCAAATTATTCATTAGCCGATAAATAATATATTGAATGGACTTTGGAATTCTCCTTCTCATCTTACTAATTTTTTATTTTATTTTAATAAATCTAAAATAAACATGATATTGAATTGACATTTAGCTTGATAAGCCTTAGAAATTATTCTTGTTCAGTTTTTTCGAATTTTAGATTTTATTATTTGTAATTTTATGGTTTCTTTTATGAATAAAACAAAGGACTACAAGCTGATTTACTGAAGGGAATTCTATCATATTATAGTTTTTTTTTCTTTGTTCCTTTTGCTTACCTGAATGAAATTCTTATAATTATTTTGTATGATAATATACGCAGGTATTTCCTTGCGTGCGATCAATTTGAAAATTCTTAATCTATAATAAATTATTCTTGTGTTTGAAAATTCTTAATCCATAGTAAATTAAATGAATATTCTTAATTATGTCATGTGTTGAGAGAAGATGTTGTTGACATGTTGGTCTGACATGGTTCAGACCTATATGCGTATAGTTATCCAAAGTGCTTTTGAGGTAGAAACGTCGAGCTCCTGAGATATCACCTGTACAAAGATGAATGTTGGAAGAGGTTTCTTGACTCAATTCCTCTAACTCCCTAACTTGAGGCATCTAAGTGTAGACGCAAGTGGTCAAAAAAGATAACTCTTCATTGTGTTGAAGAGGAGCTTTTATAGTTGCTCGTAAAAGGGCAGAATACTCTATGAAATATTTTATGAGGAGACGGTCTCTAATTGCCTTTAATAACATCTCTTTGGTGTCTTATCCACGTGGGTGACAAGAGGGCAACTAATAACCGTCTACCTTGGACCCTAGCCCACATGGGCAGATGGGTGGAGGGTGACGATCATATGTCATATGAAGATTATTTGATGATGTACTTTGTATCATTTGTCTCCTCCCAAGGTGTGCTTTGGGGCTCTCGCGAGAGTGATCTGCAACATCTAGTTCATTTGACACGTTAAACTTATGTCTCTTCGTTTGGTTCTTCGACTCCACACATTAAGTGACTCCAATAAGGTCGGGGGCGCCTGACCCCATCTTGAAATGATGACCTTAGTCCCTCAGTAAATGGTCACTTCTTGTTGATGGGCCCTCATCGATGGTAGGTTAATCATTATCATTATGAATCCGACCCTCATTCGAGTGTGGATATCGACAATAATAGGTATCCGTTTCTTAACTTCCATACCTCGGGCGGAGGAGGGGGTTAAGTTTTCTAACCTACTTGGCTCTGTGAGGATCACAGATAATGAGTGCGAGCATTGCTAACAAGACGGTCATGTTGGAAAATTTGGGATAGCATCACATGCACAATAAAATAATAAAAAACAAAATCATAGATTTCATACAGAAAAAGTTTTATCATTGTATGAAGATTGGTGCACAAAAATAGTAACACCGAAAACTACGTGTATATGAAATATGTGTTACCTAGGGAGATCGTATATCCTTGAAATCTTATAGATCTATAGGAGAAGATGAAGGATGTCAACTGTCCTCATCTCTAGCGGTGATCAACATGGTAGGGGCTATTAAGACGCTTATCAAATTGCTATAAAGTCTTTCTTTCCACGCGCACCATGCGATCAAGAAGGAGTTGCCTCTTATTACTATCCACATGCCCCAAACTAGGGTTGTTGGCTGAGGAGGAGAGGGAGAGAGGAGTCTAAGAGGTGGCAGCTCAAAATGGTCTAGCCTATGACTCTTTGATTCCCTTCTATTTATAAAGGCCCCTTGTCAATTTAATCCTAATGGATCATGCGCTATTAGGTATTGGATCTCCATCCAACTACTAAAGCCTCTTGGATTAGTGGATCTCTACCCAATAATCTCTCAATGACTCTTATTAGATTTTATCCACAATATCTAATAATTTAGGGGTTTATTGGATATCCAATAAGATAGGAGCTCTAGTGGATATCTCATATCCAAACTTCTAATCGTTGCAATACTTACCATATGTGTATGACCCTCTAGGCCTAATATCGAGTTAACTATGAGTCATACATGTCAGAACTCATTCTATCTTAATGAATTATTATCTCCATAATGATTCACTCGACTCATCGACTACAGACGCATTAGACTACTACGTCGTAGTCCCCAAATGATATAAGAGAATCCAATCCATTAGACTTGTCTATCTTTAGTTATTATATATCTATAGTTTTTCATCCATCTAATATCTCAAAGATCGTATACTAGCCATGGTGCTTTCAGGTTCATATGAAATTTGCTCGAGTCTCTCTCTAATCGGGTTCTCCAAGAAAACTCTTTCTTTCTTAATCCGAATGACCCTAGCTAGGGATTTGCCTTAATAAGAACATATAAAATATTTTTCTTATGAAATCGAGAGTGGATAATCCTCTATCGATACTCAAATGACCATCGTAAGGTTGGCTATCACTCTCGATGATCGACTATGCTAGATCTGGAACTATTAGTCATATAAGTTCGGTATCAAATAGCGGAGTACTCATATAGAACATCAT